ATGTAACAAAAGGATGCAAACGCGGACGGAATCGCAGAATCCAGTCATAAAAACGGAATTTACTGTTTAACTCGGAACGTCACGGAATTTGTCAAAGTTTGGATGAATTAGTCAAAAGTAGGTCATCATTACACGTAAATCAAATGGCGATATGGACTAGTATCTGTAAATATTAAGCCGCAAAAAGACTATTTAAATATGAATCCTGCATGATATGCATGTCTCTGTGTAAATGAAAGGTTTAGTTTATTACACACATACTGAAGCGCGCATGACGCTAGCGGTGATTTCAGCATCTGCCATCTCACTAAATGAGGACATAAATACATGAACAACATCTCCAGAACTGCTCTGAGAGTACCTCATGAGCATTTTACCGTTTCATTTGAGTAAAACTAACAGTGTGTCACATAGTGTCATATCGTATGCACACAGAAATTTAAAGGTATTCACGGCAACCCGTAAAAATAAAAGTTCGGTTTAACTTGAAGACATTGTGCCAGAAATATATTAGCCTACTACTGAGCAGCAGTAGAATGTACGTGCCGTATTGACCCGAATATAAGACGATGTTTTTTTCTTGGAAACACATCTGAAAAAACGCGGTCGTCTTATATTCAGGGTCTAGACTTTGACATGTCAATAATACACCCACAACAATAGGTGGCGCCAAATACGCATAAAACGAGTGTGCCATGAAATACGTAATGTAATGCGTGTTGTAAAGATCGCGAGTAAAAACTAAAGAAAAAGAAAACCTTACAGCTGCATGAGTCGTGACTGTCACATTAGCCTGATGGGACCAAACTCCCTTTGTGATTTTAAAACGTAAGACAGTACCCAGATTTGAAGACTACAGTAAGATTTCACTTCTACTGTTAATAAGATTTTGGTAGGCTACTATTAGATGGATAGCCTAAATGTCCTAATTCAGATGGGCTACCTGTTTTTTTTTTTTATGGTATATCAAAAAGTGTATATTTTTTAAATGTGATTGTTGGTACATTTTACCAGTTTTTACCATACTTTCAAAACAAAAATTAAAATAGGAAAAATATGCAATATGAAAATAATTGAAGACAAAATGTGTTTTACTGAGAAAAAACACGATTTGTTTTTTAAAAAGACTTTTTCCAAAAGGTACATCTGGAAAAAGGGGGGTCGTCTTATAATCAGGGTCGTCTTATATTCGGGCCAATACGGTTATACTACTACTACTACTAAAATTATTACAACTTTATTTTTTAAGGAATAATCACACAATATTTCTTCCATGTTTTAAATTTAATAGTAAATCCCCTTTGTTTGTCAAAAACATTATTTTCATTAATTAAAAGATAAATTAATTTAATGTTTTATGCCTTCATTTGATAACCAGAAAAAAATAAATACACAAAGAATTTCTAAAGAAAAAAAAAATCATAAGGCTGTTATTAAGAATAAATAAAAGTTGTTTTCATGCATTCGAATAATTAGACATGCTAAAACCCAGAAATAATAATAAAACAATAAAACATAAGCTGAGAAAAAAAAATAGAACATTTAATAAGGCTCTAAACATGTAATTTTGGTTAAACTTTCAATAAATTGATGTTGAATTATATAAGTTTCATGATTTTAATTAATTAGACATGCTTTTGATTAATCAATTTAATTTAACCATTAAAAAAAAAAAGTAGTCGTCCAGAAAAATTAAAATGGAAAAAAAACGGAATCCAGAAAAATTTAAATGGAAAAAATCAAACGGATTTCATAGGGTCCTACGTACAATGCGTCACCTGCAGTGATAACAGATGAGATGAACACAAATCAGCTTCAACTAGGCCTGGGTGGCCATAACTGTTCAATCCTGATATTGCTACTCTACTAGATGAAAAGAAAGGTAAATCAACAACACCACACATGCGAGCCTCTCCCTCAGAGTTACCTTCCAATGCTTGTGTTTCAATCCCTGCAACACTGAAAGCATATCTGTCATCACGGAGATGACCAGACAGACAACCAGTCTGCTGTTCCACAGTGACGTCAGTGGCAAAGACCTGTGAGAGCTGCTCCAACGGCCAAGTTTACCACTAGAAAACACTCTCTGTCTGACATTTTTCAGCCATCATGAATGAATAGTATGTGAGTGCTGAACAAATAGTGGTTATTGATATGTTTATTGAACTTTCCCATGACTTCCACTAATCACTTGTTATGGAAAAGTCTGAATATAATCGATAGCAAATGGCAGAATGATTAAATTAGACAGGACTTCTCACTTATTTGTCTTCTGGTCTAAAAAGCAATAACCAAGTAACACATAACGCTGTGAGCCAGTCGTGAGTTTTGCAATAATGAAATGATAGAAGGAAATACAATAAAATACAACATTATTTTCTTCTAAAATACTTGTCCATATGAAATGATAAACCTTGTATCTAACTACAAATGTTTTAGGCTCATTGTTGTGTGGCCATTTTGCTTCGGAAAAGAGATTAGAGAGAGTTTGGATCACATTTAAGTAAGAACTGCATAATATGCCGTAAGCAACATGACAAGATTACCAAACAAAACCAAGCTTAATCATGACACTGGTTGACGCAGAATTCAAGATGGCAACATTGCTAAACAAGCATACCAAGCCAACAACAGAACAATCGACAAGGAAAGGCAGCACTAAAAACAGGTCTAATATCTGATGTCTGAAGGCTTTGTACAGACATACATGCACAAAAAGTGCATATTTAGCACACAACATGCACAAAATAGCAGTTCGGTTCAGTGTTGTTACTGTTAACTAAAAGTATTAGAAATAGTTTTCAACAATTGAAATAAAGCTGAAATAAAATAAAATATAAATATTAAATGAAAAACAAAAGTGAAAATTAGAAAAAGTTGCCTTGGCAACTAAATGAAATAAAATAATTAAAGCTGAAGTACTAAAATTACAAAACCTGAAATAAAAATAAATAAAAGTTGATAGAAACATTAAAACTAACTAAACTGACAAAAGCACAAAATTACTGAAACTTAAAATAAAATTAAAATCAAAACAAAAACAAAAAAATATGAAAATAAATAAAATTCTAATACAGATATTAAAAAAATACTATAAATTAATACTAAAATAAAACGGGTACTCTAATGGTATGAGTGGTTCTCTACTATATAGTATGCAAAAAGCAATATGGTAATATGTGTCGGAATACATAGGCATTCACAAAACAGTAGGCAAATTTTTTTTTTAAATAACCAGATGAACTACTGCATCTGCTGAGATTCAAAACAAACCTTCCTATAATGCCACAGAATCTGTCAAAGTCAAAATGTTGCCACAGTAAATGACTTTTCAAGTGCTATAGGCACCATGAAAGTTGCTCATCATGGCTAGGTTGTATTTGTTAACTTAATTTTCACAGTTGAAAACGTCAAAATACATACGAGTCAAAAAACAACGCCAATATGACAGATCATGCAGCATGTCTGTGAATGTATTTACACAACACACTTGCAAACCTACAGAAATATACTTGAGTGCGTACAAATTCTCGCACATTCGTTGACTGTCCAATAGGGCTGTCACAATGAGGGAATTTCCCTTGCGGTAATTTTGAGTGGCTCAATAGTGCGGCATGCGGTATTATCGCAATATATATAATATGCTAATATATATATATATATATATATATACATTATATGGAAAAGAGCAGCTCAGACATTCTGTTAAACATCTTATTTTGTGTAGTTATATTTCAATTTCACAAAGAAATGTGCAGCATTTTGTCCTGGCAATAATAAAAGGACACATTTAATTTATAATTTGTCTTAAATAATCTCATTTTGTAAAAAAAATAAATATAATAATCGTGAATCGAATCGTGAAATCAAAATCTTGAATCGAATCGAATCATGAGTTGAGTGAATCGTTACATCCCTAATATATATATATAATTTGTGTGTGTATGTGTTACAGTATAACTAACGAGGTCATATTCAGAAGACAATGAAACCGAAACCAAATAGCGTTGAAACCGGAAGTGAAGTAAACAGAAGAGAATGACAAAATAACGGTCCACATAACAGAACATAAACCTGACAATAAGATCGTTAGGCTATCGTTAGCCTATAACAGTTAGCCTAGTTGTAATCTGATTTTCTAATCTGACTGGACAAGAGACTTTCTATTGATATTTCCACCTGCGCGCGTTCTAGACGGGCAGTCAGTCAGTGCAGTTACAGTGTTGCGCCACAAGGTGGTGGAAAGGGACTGTCATTCAACTACACGTTAAAAAACACTGATTCATTCATTCAAAGAGACGTAATGAAACACGCTGCTGAAATCATTTTAACTTTGAGCGCCACTTTAGAAGACTCAGCTGACCAGCTATGCGTCGATGCTAAGACAGAGATTTCACTTTCCTTGAACATGACAACCTATTTTCACAAATATATATGACTCGGCCTGGAGGACAGACGCAAGTAATCGCACGTGCTCAGTCGATCTCTCTCTCATTCACTGTCTGTTTAGGCTTGGAAATCTATGGAGCCTCTGTACAAATCAGCATGGTACACATTATGTTATCATTACTAACTTGTTTAATATTCAGTCCACATGCATGAAGTGTAAACGAGAACGGCATAACCTTACGAAAAAATAAAACGCGCAAAAATCGCGGTTGCTGCGGTTCTTGCATTCCTCTGCGGTTTGCTCGTCAATAGCGCGGTATTGCGATATTGCGGTTATCGCGACAGCCCTACTGTCCAATGAAAACTGACTTCTCAAAACTGAAAGCAAAGCACAAAACCGGTCAAGAACTGGACTTCACTACCATAAACCTACACCACACACACATAATTACAAAACCAATCCAATTAAAAGCTCAATGCGGACCAATACAGTTCACCATTCAGAGAGTTCATAAAAACACACATGTGGGCTGTGATGTCAGCTTAAGTATTTGGTAGGATCATACCAAAAGCAAGTTTGTCCACATAACACGAACATAACTTATACATACCTGTCAGTGACTGGGGACCGTGTGTCGCTCATTGGGCTTTTGTTTTTAGCTTTTATTCGTCCTATATCCTATAGTCATTTTCAGATGCATCAGGAGAAGCATCGGTTTTTGATGTTGCATGAGGCAGTTGCATCCATATTCTGTTGTGCTGACCAGGAGGTTCACTAATTGAAAAAACAAAACAAAAAAAAAACATAATATATAAGTTGCACCAAAGCAGCAGTCAAATCCCAATGATCCCACACAATCATAAACATGCCCAAAATCACATAAGCAGATGACTTTAAATATTAGACAATATGAAAGCATTTGATATGCACTGACAACCTAAAAAGTAAAATCAGCACATAGTACTTATGCATCATATTTTTCCAAACCATTATGTTTTTAAACCAGTCCTGAGGAAACCAAAAGAACATTTGGTTCATACAGGAGTGGTGCTGTTTACCAAAAAATAATCCTACTGTTAAATAACAACAACATGAACACAATAACACTCTACCTCTAGTGTAATTGTAGTTTATACATATAAAACACACTAAATATGTTCTGTATACACAAAAACGTTATATAGTTATAAAAAAGTTACGTTATACCTGTTAGTTTTAACAGTACAGTAAGTCAGAAGGCTTGTACAGGTCAGTCAATCATTTAACCAAAATAACTCTCACAATTGGTGCTATTCCGTTATCGTGCAGCTGTAAATGTAACGTTACCTTCATTTTCAGCAGCAGCTCCCAGGTGAAGCCGAAACACGTCCTACTGCTCGAAGTTACACTCCTTTGGTAATTAAAACACTTTTGAGTTTCCTAATAATGAATGTGTGTGTGTACGTCCACAGCCAACACAGCAGCGGCAGATCCTCAACCCAGACAGCAGGCGAGGCCTTTGCTATGCTAAAGCTAACAGCAGCCTAATGTCCTCTCCAAAAATGAGACGCGATATTTTCCCAACAAAAATAATAAACAGTCGTGCGCATCCACACCAATCCCACAGACATCCAGACTGGGAAACACTGCACGCGCTCATACACGTGTCACCTCGCGGAGAGTTTCCATGGAGCGGCGACGAAATCTCTTCAGCATCAAAACAAACAAAACCACTCGATAAAAGTTCGCGGAGGTCTTCCCGAATGTTTGTAGAGAAGATACCGCGTTCGTGCGGAAGCGAGGGTCCACGCTAAAATCAGTTTAGAGGTTGTAGATTCCGGTCCATCAAACTGGGGAAAGTTGAGATGTAACGTTACCGGACTGCTGCTGTGTCTCCCGCGGGGTTGTGTCTCAAATCCTGGTGAGCCGCCTGCATGGACAGCACTTCCGATTCAACCGAGTTCACGCGAGCTCACTCTGCTGAACTGACTGGGAACGAGCCCCAAAATGCTGTCTGGGTAGACAAGCTCACTAGAATTTGAGAAACTGTCAGTTGTTTGGGTTATAGTTTGGAGTGAGGATGGTAATTCAAAGTTTCATTTTCAAACTCCGGAAAGTGCCCAGTGGAAAATAAAATATTAGGACGTTTTTTTTTTTTTTAAGTAAAAGTCGATACTTTTTTAATTTACAGCTGGCTAAATTAGTTTAATTAATCCGTTGGAAAATGTGAGCTAGTCACTGGTTAAATTAGAAAAACTTCCGAGCTCTAGCGTGCGAAACTGTTCCAAGTATTATGTTAGTTTGCCACACGGTGGACGTTCACAAAACTGCAACGCGTAAATTACGTTTTAGCCTACTTGAGTTGACTCTTTTACGTACCTTATTGGATTTTGTTTAGTAGTAGTAATAATCATAATATACAGTTTAAAATGCACATAAATGTACTTACAACAGCTGAGTCAAGAATCTAAAGACGATTTCTTAATAATGAATATATTGAAAAAACTGCTTCACTGCTTTTTATAATAAAACATTATGCAAAATCACTTACAAATCACTTTCTTTTTTAATAAGCCTTTTAGTAGCATTTTTTACAATCTCTAAACAGTTAAATCACCTAGTCCTAGATTTCTGTCATCAAACCCTAATATCTTAATGATTTGTAATTCAGAATTTGAACACATTAATTCGAAGAGGTGTATTCAAGTCATGATTAAATATTTTTTTCATTTATGGTTTTTTAAAGGTTTACTAACATATTTTTAATCAATTACAGCTAGACAAAAATAAACATTGTCAACCAGAATTAAAATGATCCTTGTCACTAAGGTCTATTAGTGACAGTCCATCAGTCTGAATTTCTGTATGTATGAAAACTTCCACACAACTGCAACAACACCCTAAAATACATTATTATAATGATGATGGCAACGTTTATTGATTTATCAACTGGTGTGGTCAATTCACCATAACAGATAAATAACTGATGCAAACAGCCGGTAAGTCATCACTCAGTCTCAAAATCTGAAAATGGTTACACTTCAAAGACAAGATTTCTTGGTTTACTTTTTCATTCAAGTCATTAATCACACACAAATCATTCAGTAATCTTCCAGAAACATTTAGTAGTTTTTCATGATCATTTCTGAATATTGCACATACTTAAAGTTTAAGAATGTAAAAGCAACATAATAAGTAGTGTTCCTAATTACAAAAATATCAACTATTTCAAGTACTTAAGAGTTTATACACTGCATTCCTTATGAGTACAAATATATTACATTAGATTTGATTGTAAGAATTTTGAGTTAATCAAAATGGCAAATAATAAAAAACAATCAAGACTGTTTAAGGGCTCTGATACAGCATGGATGTTTTCCCATCTGAATATTACCAACCAGAAATAAACTTTAATAGCTGATATCCTTTAAAAAAGATGTAAACATCTATAAGCTGCAGATCTTTATTAGCTGGTTCACTTGTTCTGATTCTCATTCTTCCCTCCAGTGTTAGAAACGAGAGGCCAAACCGCTGAGCAGAGATCTTTCAGTCTCTCTTCACGTCCTGCCCGTTAACCTCTGCCATCCTGTGGCGATTCATCCAGCGCTGGTATTTGAGCTGGGATTTGCGGTGTGTGAAACGACTGATGTCAACCATGAACACCCAGGACAGCGCATACATGGCCACACCGCCACATTTAATGATGAACTTGGGTCTTGGAGAGATTAGCTCACAGTACAACATGGCACCACCAACGAAAATGCGCATGAACACAAACAGCAGCACGAACAGTACGTCCACCACGTCTCCGAGGAAGCTGTCGTAGCGGCCAGAGTGTTTCAAAAACCAGCGCGTCTGGAGGAGTGGGTTTGTGATCTCGCTGCCAAACAGCACGGCGCAAGACTCGATGCCCGACTCCTCCAGCCACAGAGTGAGCAGAATACCCAGGATGCTCATGGTGTGGTGAGCGAGCATTACCAGGCCCTCTGTGCGGAAGTACACACACCAGGCCATGTCAAAGATAAAGTAGCTCAGACTGACCACCATAGCGGTGATCTGCAGAGAGGTGTTCTTTGTACCTGGAAATGACATATAATAAAAATGTTAAAATGACAATAAAAATGACAAATGTTGCAATGCTAATAAGACAACATTATATGTTAGGGGTGTGCGACATGTCTGCGATAATAACGTAATTGTGCTTTTAAAGGGGTAATTTGCAGCTGGCAAGATGGTATTTTGATAAAAGTTGGCTGTCTACGTAGTAGAAACTATGTCTATGATTTTTTTTTTTAAACTGGTGCTACACGACCAGAGAAAACAGAAAAAAGGGCTGTGGTGAAGAAAAGTAGGAAAACTTCAACACCCATAATGCACTGGGCTCGATCAGTCTATCCGTGAGTGGGGATTCAAAAATGTGGAAGCACGATCTGTAGTTTTCACAAAAGTCCTAGTTTGTCAAGTCCTTCGGATGATGCATTTTATGTCATCTGATAGACTTTTGCTGACAAATAACGCGATTATCTTGGTGTAGGTCACAGAAAAATAATATGCAATGCTCATTTACTTGTACTACTGACATTGTAACAATACAAAGCTTTTTGCAAAATCGGCAAACTAACCCTTTGACAATGTGTGAGCAGCTGACATTATCGAGTATTTCATTCACTTTGCAAAAACCAAACAAAAACACGCCAAATATCAGCATGATTGCAAATTTGATATTGATTTTATACAACAGTTTTCAACAGTTCAATAAACAAGATGTTAATATTAAGCAAGTTACATTTTAGACATAGGCTAATATTGTCTGTTTTGGCTCTATTTCACCAACAAAAATCATTTTAAACACAAGTCTCTGAGAAACAAACATTGGTGTTTCTTTACTGACTGAATCTGCATTTAGAACAAATCAGTTGAGGGAATAATTCAATGACTCATTCATTAACCGTCACTTGCTTTGTTCCTCAATAAATCAGCCATTTGAACGAAGATATGAATTTGAAGATGCGAGCCAATGACTCACTCATTAAGACAATTCCTGCGTCCGAATATGCCTACTTCCCTATATATAAGAGCGAAAAACTGCACATGAGAAGAGTAGTATGTCCAAATTTATGATATTCAAAAAACAGTTGGTTGAAATGTACCAACTTACAACTTCCACTGAGATTCCAAAATGCGAAATAAGTAAATGGAAGTGAAACGGTGCAATTGACAGTGTAAGTGATTTAACGGTCGCAAACTAAGTTCTTATTCAAATGTAGTACCTATTTCGGATGCAATTTTGGACCCAGCAAGTGACTTGCCACCATCTACTGGTAGTTTTAGTTACTTTTCCAAATGTTCTTTCTAAAACAATAATCATAGCACTAATTATGCAATTGTAATCACAGTGCAAATGCATTTATGGAGCTGCATTAAGTAGTCTGTATATATCATACACCCCTAATATATATATATATTAGTATTTGTACATCTTGCCTGGGTAGGTGAAAGGCCACAGTCCATCTATGTATCCAATGTAAGCGGTTATACAGACTGCAAGGATGCCATGGAATAGTGTAACTAGCCGACAGTTCCATTCATAGCCACAAGAGCCATTTGTGTAGCACAGCAAAGCATAAAGACCAATCCACCCAGCTAAGCACGCTCCGACTCCCAGCACCAATGGCGACATCTTTATTCTGTGAGCCTAATCAAATACAACGAGCTGTCACATTCACAAAACGCTTTACCATGTCAGATTGCATGCATGCATTCATTAGAGTACTTACTTGAAGCACCACAACGCTTGAGCGACTGTATAAAAATATGACACTTTTCCTTTGATTCTGATTCCTTTGATTTCTGAAACTACTCGAGTATGTCTGAAGGGTTTGCAGTGGCTTTCACATTAACAGTTGAGAAATACAAGAGTCTGGCTTGTATCTGGGTGTGTCAAAAGTAGACCAAAAGTTACTGTGGCAACCTTATCCACAGCTCTTTATCCTAATGTTGTCTGAACCTCGGATGTAAAGCAGCTGAAGTTGAACTAGGTCAATACTAGGTTACTTTATTTTAACATATTCAATATATATATCCGGACACTGATATAGCCTGCAAGTTTGAGAACCGAGAATGTGTTCTTATTAATAACAGGTTTAATAAGAAATAACTGATAAAATAAACACTCAAAAGTTACTGTGGCAACCTTATCCACAGCTCTTTTTCCTAATGTTGTTCAAACCTCTAAAGTAAAGCAGTTTAACTACATCAATATTTGGTTATTTTATTAAACATCAAAATACTGATATAGCCTATATGTAGGTTTGGGAACAGAGAAAGGGTTATAATTCTTACTCAACAGGTTCAGTAAAAAAAATAATTAATAAAATAAATGCTCAAAAAAAGTTACTGTGGCAACCTTATTGAAGCTCTTTATCCTAATGTTGTCTGAACCATGGATGTGAAGCAGTTGAACTTAGTAAATATTAGGTTATTTTATCAAACATATACATCAGGATACTATATATATATATATATGTGTAGGTTTGGGAACTGGGAAATGGTTATTATTCTTATTTATAACAGATTCAATAAAAATAATAAAATGAATCAAATAAATGATTAATAAAATAAATACAATAAAAATATTTTTACTAAAAATAAATTAGTTTAAAACATGCTCCTGCTTCAGGTAAAATTATGCAATGAAAACGAAAAATAGTCATTTTCAATCATATGAGCCGGTTGCTTTTGGTTAATCAACCATATACAACGTCTGATCAATTAGCAAGCAAAAGAAATAGATGAATAAAAACGAATGAATAAAATATGTTTTCAATGTTTGTATTTATTATTTTTATATAATATATATGTAGAATCAATTGTTGCACTGCATTTATATCACTTCTAAAAAAGTAAAAAAACAAACAAAAAAATGCTGTTCTGTTTTCCTATATCAGTTTTGTTGGAATATGAAAATATCTGACCATTTGGCAACAGACTTTTTTTATTTTCAAACTTATTCATTAAAAGTACTACTAAAAGCTTCTTCTTACGATTCCCATCCCCACTGTTGCCAAAGAGTCAGAGTTCATTAAACAGACATGTTCAATGTAAATGCACATTTCAGATGTAAAATAAATAAATAGCCTAAATAAATTGAATAATTATAATGGAATAATTATAATATATAAAGCACATCTTTCTCAAATATTCTTAGTTCACTGCAAAACAGATACTGATGGATCCAGATTTAAGCTAATCTTCTGAGCTATTGACTGGCTGAGGTTCAATTAATTACCACCCTTCATTACATTAAGACGAGCAGGTTAAACGTGTAGCCATGAATTGAAATATGTTCTTTAAAAAAAGAACAAAAGTATATATCTCTTACAATAGTCACCTCAATAGCATGTTCATTGACAGGCCGGAGAGTTATTCAGTGTTCAGCATGGATGCTGTCTTCTTCCTCCGCGCCTCCCGTTTCAGCATCACGTACAGAAGCGCAGCAGCGGACACGAGGCCTTGAGGGATCTCAGTGTTCAGCTCCGGCATCGTCTTGGAGATGGTACGCAAATCACCACAAAAACAAAAGCCACATTTCAGCCACTCAGTCCCTCAGCGGCTGGACAACTGCGAGGATGACAACAAAGAGGAAGACACATCCTTACAGCAGGGCGACCTCTGCTGGCACGGACCGCGTCCTTCGTTACAAATTACAACGGTAACCATAGTTACCCCCCGTGTTATTTATGTATTTAATTATTTATTTATCTTTTTTTAATTAATCGCTTTAACTTTATAAATCAACAAACAAGTACTCCAGAATATAACAAATCCTGGTCAGCTCTCAATACTACCCGTGGGAATTTTTTTTTTTTTACAAATGATCTTTGATTAAAGTACGTTACCATTCAAAAGTTTAGGGTTAGGTTTTTTTTATGTTTACAAAAGTCTCTTACGCTCATCAAGGCAGCATTTATTTAACGAAAATACAGCAAAACAGCAATGATGTGAAATATTATTACAATTTAAAATATCCGTTTTATATTAATATACTTTAAAGTGCCGCTATTATGCCATTTCCAATATTGCCTTTCATGCAGTGTGTAATGTAGCTGTATGTGAATATAAACGATCTGCAAAGAAGTAAAGCTGAAAATGCACGATAAATAAAGTCTCCCAAAATAAATAATCGACTCTGAACAGCTCCCACTTCCGTGACGGCTACACATCACCATCTATTATTTGCATAATGCGCACCTATGGGCGAATTCCAAACGGCTTTCTTGCGCCCTTCAAGGGCACTTCGGGAAGGGGACGCCATTTGTAGGGACGTTCCAAACGAAAGTGAGCAACTGAATCCCTTCACGAAGGGCCCTTCCAGAAGTCCATTAGCTAAGGGAACATGCCATGGTCACTTCGGAAGTGATTTCTGTTTGTGATCATGTGATCTCCAGTTAGGAGCTCTTGCCATGCATTTTAAAGGGGTCATATGACCCAAGTTTTGATATTCATATGATATTCAAGTTTTCCTTTCTCTTTGGAGTGTTACAAGCTGTTCATGAATAGGGAAGATCCCTAAAGTTGCAAAGACTAAAGTCTCAAACCCAAAGAGATATTCTTTATAAAAGTTAAGACTGGTCCACGCCCTCCTAAAACACCTCGTTTAAACACGCCCCCACATGTCTACCTCACGATGTGGGAAGATTTGCATAATGCCGCCCAAATGTTCACGCAAAGAAAGAAGGCATAACTTTATTGTTGCTGCCACCGCCATGTTGTGAAGACGCGGTGTGTTTCATTGCGAAAGTGAAAATACTTTGTTTGAAAATACTTCCAAAAATGGACACGACTAGAAATCAGTGGTTAAGTTGTATTTACAACACTGTTCCAGAACACTTCAACCCAAATATTCAGATGTGTGCAGCACATTTTATGGAGGACTGTTTCCTGATCCTGGGAGAGCAGACTACAATGCCGGCAATTTTGACTCACAGTCTGTAAGTACGTTTTCATATTTAAAGAATTTGCCACTGATGATTCAAATGCGCGTTTTGAGCATAGACTGTAAAAAAAGATGGACGACGCGTCTCCTATTTCTTCCACTATAGAAAAGTGAAGCCAAAGCATCTCAGTATGGCCACTCCCACGTCAGTGACGTCATTTGGAGCCCGAGTCTGCGCAGTAGTGTCGTGAGGTGGAGCCGCGGTATCAAACTCCCGCCCAAACACGTGACAATCAACCATAAGGACAGGTCCCATTTTTATAGCATCAAATTACTAGCTGAAATCAAACTTATCACAAAAACGAACAATTTAACATATATCAGCATAATAACAACTACCTTAAATGACCAAAACCATCTTTCGGAAAATTGTATTAGAAGTATAATTAATTTTTTTATTTTGACTCAAGTCCCATTCGTTTACATGGAGAGGGTGGGGTTTATGACCTGTACTGTAGCCAGCCACCAGGGGGTGATCAAATAGTCCGCAGCTTCACTTTTCAGGATGTGTGAGGCACACCCGGTTTTGGGCAGTGTAGAGTAGCGCTTGTTGTTTGTCATTTCTCCGATCACAAATGCAGACATGGTTTTATATTTACGCGGCGCGATGCAACGCAACGCGTAAAAAGACAGTATAAGTCATTATGATCCGTAATTATGTCCCCACTGGATGTAACAAATGCCTCGTTTGTAATGGGTTTTATTGGTTTTGTCTCGTTGCACAGCTCGCGCCGGGACATGGCATCACAGTTTGGTAAGGGGTGTAACATTTCTGTCACATGCTTGAGGTATTCGGCCAATCAGAACGCACTGGATAGCTGGCCAATCAGAGCACACCTCGCTTTTTCAGACCAATGAGCTTTGTAAAAATCGACGCGTTTCAGAAAGGCGGGGCATAGAGGAGAAACAATAATGTACAGTATGTGGACAATAATGTTTTTTTGAACCTTAAACCGCAGAAACACATTTCAAATACACAAAATAATGTTATTTTTAGCAACATCATATGACCCCTTTAAAGCAAAGTTGGGGTTGATCTCGACTTCACATGATTAAATTTGTCTTTGTTTTAATGTGATACAAAATATTTTTTGTCAGTGATAGAAACATGGTTTAAGCATGTTTAGTTTGAAAAAGTTTAATAGTAAATAAGACACAGTGAGACAATATTTAAATAAATTAATAATAATAATAATGAGAAGAAATATTTATTTGCAACAACTGATTGAGTGCTGAATGCTGCACGCACGCGCAGCGTTGTCAAGGTAACGTTTGGTCGGTCATCCCTTTGCCAAGGGAGTTCCAAATGCTTATACTCTCTGCTCTGCCCTTCGAAGGGAGTAGGGCACAGGGATGCTCACTTCTGTTTGGAATTCGCCCTACGTTCTACGTTGACAGCGAACAACTTGACCCCGCCCACAAACACTTCATTCTACTGACGACTGCTTCTTCCTTTCTCGGGGAGTTCAACGTGGGATTCACAAAATGTTTGCTGTGGAAAATGGATTAGTATCCTGATTATTTGGATCAGCTGCTCCACTGAATCACAACCTGTAAGTATAATAAATAATAGAGGTTTACATTTTCTATAGAGCGTTCAAATACAGAACTATTAGAACTATTGTATCGTTTTCGAAAAGCGCTGTACGCCAGACCAATCACAACAGACTAGGCCATCTGACCAATCTGACCAAAGTAGGCTCACGGAAAGGAGGGGTTTAGAGAGACTGAATCTTTCAACTGCTTCGAACGAATCGTTTGAGAATCGCTGGAAAATGAGGTGATATTAAATGCATATTTTGAGAAAACTAAAGCGTTTTTTGACCTTGCATGCATATAATCCTATTGTAGGAGACTCCCAAAACAATATTAGGAACCGTAAAATTTGCATAATAGGGGCACTTTAAAATTTTATTTATTCCTGAGATGGCAAAGCTGAATTTTTAGCATCATTACTCCAGTCTTCAGTGTCACATGATCCTTCAAAAATCATTCTAATATAGCCTACTGATTTGCTCAAGAAGCATCTCCAATTAGTGTATAACAATCATATTTAAAAACATGATAAAATGCGTACAGTTTTTATTAAGTGTTAAACATAGGTGGTTATACACCAAAACAGAATGTTGCAGCTCTGCACTCACATTTAAAAACAATTTTGCTTTTCTAACAGTAAAAAAGGAGACTTTTATAAAAGACACTTTGCTGAAGGAGCTTTTATTTAAAATTACTTCATATTATGCTCATATTCATTTTCATAGGAAAATAGCTTTGATACTTTATTCTTAACAGCATTATCCTTAAAAAGAATCAGTAAACACTGAATCACCAAGGCACTTGTATCCCAGACAATGGCTGTTGATTGGGGAGGTGTAATCTCAAACAACACTTTCAACATAACACTTAAAACTCTTTAAACAAAA